AGGAACACAAGCAGGGGGAGTGGGAGAGGGAGAAGCAGGCCTCCCGCAAAGCAGGGAGCCTGATGCGGGGCTCGATCCCAGGACCCTGGGATCATGACCCGAGCCGAAGGCAGACACTCAACGACTGAGCCACTCAGGCGCCTCTCAGAAGACATTTTTATATAGACACAGTATTTTCAGTGATGGTTGGGGTTTGAGGTGGGCCCCACAGAGCCACCAGAGGCCATAGATCCTGTGCCCCGTAGAGTTGACAAAGTGCTCTTCACTCACACACACCCCTTCTCGTTTAACCTCACGGTGGCTGACAGAGGACCACTGCAGTCCTGCAGTGCCACATGATTATATTCGTATCTGATGATTTCCAGCCAGGCAACCGCCTCACGCTGCTGTTTTTAATATGCTCGGGAGACACTTCCCCCACAGCAGCCAGACTCTTCTGGGGGTTTTCCACTTTCACTGTCACTGCACAGGATTGCTGGCAGGGCTGGCATTGGAGGACATTTTTGTATGAGCTGCTGGTTTTCCCTGCCTGGTGTAACCCAGGCTTCGGGACCAGCAGCCTCTGTTGGTTGCCATGGTTACAGCTGAAGAAAGGAGTCCTAGTTTAAAGGAATAAGGGCTTGACTCTAAAAATCACTTTTCTTGCTCCTGTGCTACTTCTCTTCCTGTTACCTCCCCTTCCGATAACAGTGGATTCAAAAGCTTAAAAATCTGACAAGGGATCTGCTGTGTTTTTACCTACTAAAGCCAAAGTCTTTTTTCTTGTTTGCTCTTTGGTTGCCGAGAGCCCTCAAATGTGTTCTAGATAGAAGATTCCAAATGTAGAGAGAGTAGAGAGCCCCTGTTCTTCAGGATGTCTTGTGCAGTTGCTCCTCCAGCCCTCAGCATCTCAGTCCCAAGAGCAGCGCTGGCCCGTTGCCTGTTGCCGAGCGACAGCCTGCCTCAGCCCTCCACCTCCTCGTCAGCTCTTGGTCTTCACACCAGCACCGCAGAAGGAGCGAGGCTGGAGCCATGATGTGGGCGATGGGGGGAGGCACTCGTCTGCTCCCCTGCCCTCCCCAGCCCATCACTTTTCCAAAAATAGTGTTTATATTTATTTGCTTCAATTTCCCCACCCCTAAAATGGAGCTTGTACTATTGTCTTTCCTTGTAGGGAAATGGAGGATGCGTAATAAATTTTTTCTTCTTTTCTCCTTAGAAGCAGATAACATGCATTTAAAGCTTATCTTTTTGTTTGTATTTTAATATCATGTTCCTTTCCACTTTTGGCATAGGAAGTCATTAGAATGAGTCTTACCTCGAGTTCTGGTAGCTCACACTGGTTGCTGAGGACTCCAATTCAGTGCCTTTCTAGACCCTAATAGAGCTTCAGGGAAGGGGTGGTGAGAATGCACCTCTGTTCCTTGGGACGGCGGCTGGTCTCTCAAAAGCAGGTAGTGTGGAAAGCCGCGCTTAAGCTCAAGGGGGAAGAATGGCCCAGAGAAGTGAAGGGTACAGAAGGCCAGACCCAGGGAGATTTACAAACCTTGGGATCACACCCTGGCATTTATTTTTTTCTCCTTTCAGGCTTCGAACCGGAAACGTACTGGGATCGAATGCACCTTTTCCAGGAAGCCATAGCACACAGGTTTGTCCCCTAGCAAGAGGGCATCATGGGAGGGCGTCAGTGACTGTTGTGAGCGTCAGTCACCAAACCCAAACCCAGTTTGTTTCATTTCTGGGGAAGCGGATCTAGTTCACCAAAGAGCGACTCGCTGCCAATACCCTGCAGGACCCTTTGCCTTGGTTTCAAAGATAAGCATTAGCCCTCCAGTCCCTGTAGCTGTTGTTTTCCAGACCACATTACCTTCTTCCAGTTGAGGGGAAAGCACAGAGCTCCCTCCTTAGCCTCCAACTAGACCTTGAGCCAAGCTGTCCAGGAGATGACATGAGATGAAAAACTAAAACGCTTCAAGAGCCCCTTGACACATGCTGAGAAGATAATGGGGGTTAAAAAGCAATAGATAAGTCCGTAGGTATTTACAGGCACTAGAATATATGCCAGGGAGGGGCTTCCCTGGGCTTAGCTGCCTACCCCTCAGGCCAGTCCAGCTTTGTCTCTAGAACGCACCACGCAGTGTTCATTTGCTGCTTCGTGTTAATCATGGCAGTAGCAAGTCCTCCGTTCCCACTTCCATAATCCTCTTGTGGCACCATCTGCAGTGTCCTGCCATCTCCTCATTCAAGTGTATTCAGCTGTTACCACTCCACCTTGCACCCCGCTCCTGCCCCTGGCCCACCACATTCTGGCTTCTTCCTTCCAGCAGGAGGGGGTGCCGACTGGGGGCAGAAGGTAGGGAGCGCAGTGGGTCGGTGGCAAAGGGCGCCGATCTGGGAAGCAGACAGGCCTGGCTTACCTCTGCCTCCACCAGCATGCGGCAGAGGAACTGTGAGCAAGTTCTGGAACTGCTTCACCTTTGTTTTCTCACCACTCACTGGGTTGTTGGGAGGGTTCTCTGGAGTTCCTGGCACCTAGGAAGCCCTGGGTAGGCAGGGGTTATCATTAGGAAGACCCCAGCCAACTGATGAGTTATAAGCAGGTTTGACACTTCCCTTGGATATCATTGGGTGGTGATTGGATTTTGCTGGCTAGATGTCACGTGCGACGTGGCCTTTCGATTTCTTCATGTCTTCTGTCCCATCCCCACAAATCACTGCGTGGACTCCGCTGCGTGTCCCTGCACCTAAACCTGCGCTCTCTTCCCCACCTAGACCCACCGAACTCACCTATATCTCCCCCCTAACACATTCTCCTCTAAACCCCCACTACTTTGCTCCACCAGATTCCCAGGTCCCTCCTCTCTCGATCCCTCCTTCCCTTTTTCCCAACATACTCTGTCCATCTTTTATCCTAATCTAGGGGCCCCTGGAGGGCAAGGGTATGCATTTTTCTCATTTTTGTTTCCCTTTACAGCACCCAGCAAAGTGCCTTGCCCAGAGTAGCTTTTGCACAGAATGGGACTCTAGGTGGAATGTGGCTCTGAAATGAAACATTAGCCCGCCCATAAGTTTCATCTCTGAAAGAGTTAGAAACTAGTCCAATAAATAAAATCTTTTAAAAAAAGAAGAAACTGGTCCAGCCTCCCTGGGCCCCCCTGCTGTGGCTCCCCAGCTCCTCCTTCACATTTACCTGGTGGGATGGGTGCCCCCCACCCCCACCCTCGCTGTAGTCCTGGCTCGAGTGCTCCCCAAGTGGACAGTGAGGGGGGCCAAGCACTGTGGGGTTCAATTGCCATTTTAAAATTAAAGGTCTTCCCTGGTGACCTAAGGAAGAAATGAGGCAAGAATCTGGTCAGGCTGATCCATGCTGAGTAAATAAACAGCCTTGGTTGAAAAGTAAAGGGGAAGGAAGGCAAAATCCAGAGGCATTCCTACACATGGTAGAATCAGCCTATAGATGTTGGGGCTTGCTGTGCACGTTAACTGATCCATGTAACTTGCCTTGACTTCATGTGTTCTCTGATAAGTAATTATTGAAAGCCAGTGTGAAGCTGGCGGCTTATACAGAGGACGCAACGCAAGGAGACAGGTGTTTTACCTCCTTCAGTTCTGCCGACATCACTGCCTTCATTACATAAACCTCTCAGACTCGGGGCGGGAGCCACATCTGTTAACACGTCCTTTTCAGCACTTAGCAGGTAGAGCTGTAATAAATGTGTATGATGGAAATAGAAAAACCCGGAATAGAACAAACCATAGATGAGAAGCAGAATCGAATAAGTCATAGATGAAAAGTGGCTCCTCCTGCCCATTTCCAGAATGGAACAGCGAAGCCGAGAGCCCCAGACTCGGTTCCTCATTTTTAAGAAGAGGATTTCAATTAAGATAATTCATTCTATTTCAATTTGGAGCCTTTTTTGGGAACCTACTATGTGCTTAGCTGGGAGAACCTAAGGGAAAGAGGTGTGGCTAAGGTGAATTAAGATAAGCACCTTCCCTTCTCCTTATGTGGATGGGCACCCAGCATGGTGTCGGACCCGATGTGGATTCCAGGGAGAGGCAGAGAAGAGGTGCGGGAGGGGACAGGGCGACAGTCCCCAGAGGGATGGTCTGACTGGACAGCTGGGGGGCATGCAGGGGGAGGGGTAGAGGAGGTGCGGGAGGGGACAGGGCGACAGTCCCCAGAGGGATGGTCTGACTGGACAGCTGGGGGGCATGCAGGGGGAGGGGTAGAGGGCAGAGACAGGGCTGGGTGTGGAGTGCAGCTGGTGAGAGGGTTCTCAGCCACTTGGAGATGACTGGAGGCCTGGCAGGAGGAGGTCTGGTGAGGGAAAACAAGCAGCCTGAATGTTCTGTCTTGAAAGAGATCTTCCCAGGTCCCTGTAGCTCAGACTGTCAGAAAGTCCTCTTGGCTACATTTGCTCCCCCTGTCCCTTTATCTAAGAAGGCCCTAATCTGTCTGTCTTCCTGTCCTTAGGTTTGGGTTTGTGCAAGATAAATATTCCGCCTCTGCTTTTAACTTCCCTGCCGAGAACAAGCCTCAGTACATCCACGTTACAGGTGAGACTCTCCAGGCGAAATGTGGGGCAGGTGGGTCCCTGCGGTGGGAGCCTGTGCACGGGGGCTCCTCCCCTTCACTGAGCCTGTGTCTGCCAAGCCGCCGCAGCTGCCCGGGGAGGGGGGGCCCTCCTGGTGGCGGTGACACGGGGCCTCCCCTTGCTCCTCAGGAACAGTGTTCCTGCAGCTGCCCTACTCCAGGCGCAAGTTCTCGGGGCAGCGGCGGCGGCGGAACTCCACGAGCTCCACCAGCCAGAGCATGTTCTGTGAGGAGCGGGTTGGCTACAACTGGGCCTACAACACCATGCTGACCAAGACGTGGCGCTCTAGCGCCACGGGGGACGAGAAGTTCGCTGATCGGCTGCTCAGGGATTTCACGGACTTCTGCATCAACCGCGACAACCGGCTGGTCACGTTCTGGACAAGCTGCCTGGAGAAGATGCATGCCAGCGCCCCATGAGGCCTGGCCGCGCCCGGGTCCAAGCGCAGGGAGGGTTTGGCTCTTGCTGTCCGTGTCCAGTAGGGGCAGGCAGGCTTTGGGCGGCAGGCGGCAGTGCCCCTGCCGGAGAGTGGGGGCCGTTGCTACTGGTTCTCCCCCACCCCACCCCACCCCACGAATTGTTCTTCCCCTCGAGGAGAAAGACTCAGGAAGAAACGAGCGCTGAGAGCAGGTGGGAGGCCCAGATGGTCCGTGGGAGGACCTCAGTACTGGGGGCGGGGGGTGAGCAGCCCCCATGAATATCCTTGGAGAGGGGGTGGCTCCTGGGAGCATCCTTTCCCTCTGCCAGCCATGGGCTTTTCGGAGCCGTCTGCCACTTCCCGCCCGAAAGTGTGCACAGGATGTAAGATAATTTTGTGAAATAGTGTACCATAGGCTCACACCAACTGTATATACCTGTACATATCAGAAGCAGGAATAAAGTGCCACATGCAGCATCTCTGGCCCCCAGCTGGTTCCTGGCAGCGGCGGTCCCATCCTCGGCTGGGCAGTCGGGCCCCATCGCCAGGGACATAGTGGCAAATGAGGCAGCCACAGAAGGTGAGGAGAACTGCAGAATTCACTGTCTTGGAGAGTCTGGCTGTGGATTTTCTGAAAGATGTCTTTTCACAGGCCCTTGGGCAAGAGCAGAATCGTTTCTTTCAGACCTGGTGAGCAGAGCAGATAGTAGTAGGCACAGCCGCAGGCTTGTGCTGGCGGAGTGAATCTTTGCTAAGTGGGTGAGCCCAGGTGTGGCACGCGGATGTCATGGCATTCTAAAAAAAAAAAAAAAAAGGAAGTCTATTGACTCCAAGGTTTAGAACCCACTTCTTAAAGGGATAAGATTCAGCATGGTGCCTCAACCTTAGCACCCTGCCCTAACCTGCTGGTGGCAGGGGTGAGGGGCTGCAGGATAGAGGGGACCTGACAGGTACTGCCACCCCCCTCCCCCCAATCCCTCCACACAAGCCCTGTTGATTTCCCTCCTCAGTAGCTTGCGAATCCACCCACTTCTTCCCAGGCCCTTTGCTGCTTCGCCCAGCTCAGCGCAGCCCTCCTTCATCTTCCTCTTCCTCTTGCATGGCTAGGAGAGCCCCCTAACCCATCTCTGCTTTCCCTCCAGGTCATTCTTCACTTGGCACTCACAGTCTTATTTAAAAACCACTCTGATTGTGCCCGCCACTTATTTAAACTTATTTAGACGTCTTTGGGTACTTGAACTTCAAACATCTTAGACATAGCCATGTACAATCTGGTCCCGGGCTGTTCCTCCAGCCACCTGGAACATCACAAACTCTTTAGTGGCTCAGGTCCTTTGCACATGCTGTTCCAGCTGCTGAGAACACTCCTCCTCTCCAGGCCCACTCTGCCTTGCTAACTCCTGGTCATCGTTCAGCAGCTCTTTGCTCATGTGTTACTTCTCCAGAGAAGCACAGTGGGCTACCTGTCAGGTCTTCCCACAGCACCTTGTACTTCCCCGGCAACACTCGGCACATTTCCACGCTAGCATGATGGAAGCTTGCCTATTTTGTTCGTCTCTTTGTTCCTAAATGTGCAGCATGATAGCAGATGCTGGAGAAATGATGTTGGCTGAATACGTGGAGTGAATGAATGAACTCTGGACTCAAGGGCCAGGCGCTGGGTGTTGCATCTGAATCTCCCCGCACGGGGTTCTTAAGTTACTTAATGGAGCCCGTTTCCTCATCTATAAATTGGAGCTATTTGTGCTACATGTAGATATTTTGAGAGAATGCATCTGTTAATATAGGTGAAAGCACACGGGTTGATTCCTGGTGAGGAACTGGTCCCTGATAAAATCCCATTTTCTTTTCCTTTCTCACCTTCCCTTCCCTCAGACAAACCTTCACTCTTTGTTAAGCGTCAACGTCCTTCATTTATAAAATGGGAGACTGTCTGCTAGTGTGGTGAGAGGACCAGAAGACAGAGGTGTATGAAAGCACTTACTACCCAGCAGGCAGTAAACGAACGCCGGCGGCTCTGATATTCCCGGATGGAAAGTCCTCTTTGCCCTGTTTCTGAGCCAGCTTCCTGCTGGATGTTGCCAGATGTGGCAGCCACTGGCCTGTCCGGCTCAGATCGTGTGGCACAGACATGTGTGGTTCTCAGTATCCTACTTTCCGCCCTCCTCTCTTCCAAAAATGACCTGGGAAAAGAAGGCTTAGAGAGTAGAATGCTAGCCACTCACCCTTCAGAGCTGGGCCTGAAACACCTATGCCCTTGAATCCTAGTTCCCCCACATTCTTCCTCTCTGACCAGCAGCACCTCCTTCCACCCACTTGTCCAAGCCAGAATCTGGGAGTAGAACTCAAGCCTCGTTCAACTCCACCATCACCCGTCCCTCAGGCCCACCCACCTCCCTCCATGCCTGCTGCCCAAATGCGGAGAGAGCCCAGCCTGGGGAAATGTGTGATTTGGTTAGACATGAGGGATGTGTGCGTGCAGATTGGACGCCCCACACCAGGTGTATAAACGTGAATAACCATTCCTTGGTGGAGAGAGAAAGGCAGGAAGCTTGGGGCCAAGAGGACCTGGGTTTAAATCCCAGCTCTGCCATTTCTTCGCTGTGAGAGCTAGGAATGTTCTGTCTCCTGAGTGTGGTTCCTCACGGGTTAGATAGAGATGACATGGCCTCACCTTTCTTCCCAACCCCCGCCCCCCACACACACACCTCTCTTGAGTGTTGCTCTTCTTCTCTGCTTGTGACAATGTAATTATTTGCTGACCCCTTTCAGCCCCGTAGGCTGAGAATTTCTTCTCGCACACTGTCTAGTCACTGAGAGTTGAGTGAGTGAGCTGGTGAGACCAAGGGAGCAGGTACACGTGGCAGGGCCCCTCACAGGGTCCAGCACAAAGGAGGGGCACATGGACTGTAAGGAGGATCTTGGTGCAATCACCAATCTGGTTCCCTAAATTAAGTCACGGAGGGCGCTTATTCATGTTCAGAAATGGGGCATCAAGGCCCAGATACATGCATGACATGCCTTGGGCTCACCCCAGTATAAGCGGGGATGAGGGTGGTCCAGTAAGACAAGGCCTTAGAGCATAGGGGTTCTTGGAGATCTGGCCCAACCCTTTCATTTTCTCCCAGTTAAGGAAACAGGGAGTGACTTGTCCTAGGCTCTAGGTGGCACCGGGACAAGGACCAGTCCTCCAGTTCCCAGGCCCAGTGTTTTTCTAAGCATTTGGTTATAGTCAGTAGTATGGAGGTTGAGAGGGCAGGCGTAGGAGGCAAGTGGCTGGATTCAGATTCTAGCAGGGCCACTTGCCAGCATGTGAGTCTGAGTAAGTTACTGCATCTCTCTGAACCTCAGTTTCCTCGTCTGTAAAATGAGACACTAGTACCACCACCAGGGTCTTGAAAACCACACAAGAGAATGTGGGTAGAGAGCGTGGACAGTGGCTGGAACATTGTGCCCTCCCTCAACATCAACTGTTAAATTGCCCCAGACTCTGTGACCCCCGGGAGTTTAGAGAAGGGAATAATCAGAGAGCTGGAGTGGACAGGCTAGTCTTTAAAGAGGAAGTAGCCTTGGACCTGGTGGGATGTATAGGAGTCAGAGTGGTCAAGAGGCTGAGCCCAGTGTCCCCACTTGGCCCAGAGGTCTGTACTCCACTAACTATTTGCTATGGTCGTTCTGCCTTATCTAGGTCCCAAGAACCTCTGCTGAGAAGTTTTTTCTCTTGTCAGAGGTGCCACGTTGCCAAGAGCAGGAAGAGGGCTTTCTGACCATGCCACCCTGGCCCCTTCTCGTCGTGAACAGGGTTGTTGCCTGAAGCTGAGCAGCTCTGGAGACATTTCTCAGTTTTGTGGTTGTGCTGGGGTGCACCCAGGCCCTCGGACACCTGAGGAGCACCATCGGCCTCCTGAATGTAGAAATGAATCTGGGGTGGGGAACCACACAGAGTGTGAGATGCAGAAAAACCTGATGGGAAAAGAAATGAGCTAGCATAACACCCTTCCCCTCTACCAAAGGAATGGAAATAAGCCAAGAAGGCTTGAAAGCAGAAGTAGTAGCTGTGTTAGTTCTCTAGTGCTCCCGTGTGAAAGAGTTCGCATAAATTGCAGATTCCAGAGCCTCTCCCAGAGATTCTGATTCGGGGGGGTCTGGGACTCTCCACTGTAAACAGACACTTTGCTCTCAGTGGTCCATTTGAGAAACCCTGTTCCAGATTCCTTCTCTGGGCTTCTCCCTGAGTACTCTACACGCAGCTCCAACTAGCCTGGAAATCTGATTCTTAGACCAAAGCAGATTAGAAGCCATACACAGAAAGGCAACATAGTTGACAGCTGAGAAAAATGACATCTGACAGCAGACAGACGGCTGCACGGGGCTGCCGAAGGCACAGGACCACCAAAGCCCACGCGGCTGGGCCAGGAACTGCCAAGTACTACATGGGATAGGCATGGAAGCCCATATACCCTGTGTAGGAAGAGACCCATCAAAATAATTAAAATGGAAACTTGAGGTATTACAAGGAAGAAACACATGGTATACGCCTGACACACTGAGGAAGTCTGTGAGGTTTTGCCAACATGGATAGGAAATAGTGGGACAGAGAGCTAAATAGAAGCCAATTTACAGTGAGCCCGAACATTTCAGGTACATATAGTAATGGTCACTCCTTTTTCTTTTTTTTTTTAAGATTTTATTTATTTGAGAGAGCACGAGTCGGGTGGGAGGAGCAGAGGGAGAGGGAGAAGCAGGGTCCCCGCTGAGCAGGGAGCCCGACGCGGGGCTCGATCCCAGGACCCTGAGATCATGACCTGAGCCGAAGGCAGACGCTTAACTGACTGAGCCAGCCAGGTGCCCCAGTCACTCCATTTCTTGAGTGTTGGCTGTGTTCCGGGCAATGTAGCCTAGGTACTTTACGTGCCACTGCATCGGGTAATCTTATCAACCATCATCATACCAGATGAGAGTGGAAGGCCCAGGCAGTGAAGCCCAGGGCCACACAGCTAACAGCAGGGCTGGGAATCAGGCCTGTGGGACCCCAGAGCCCAGCCTGGCCTGCTGTGCTGACCCCCTCGGCTGGGTCAGTGAGGCATCGCCACTGCTCGGACCTGGGGCTCTGGCTAGGGGTCCCGTATTCCTTTCAGCTGACTGCACTGTGTGTGGTCCAGCCCTGCTGGTGTACAGATGCTGTGTAACATGTGAATGTGGCCTCACATACAGGCGCTCTGCTGGGAGCACGCTGTGACTTTGAGCGGGGGCCGGTGGCTTTTCCTCACCTCCAGGCTCCTCTCCGGAAGGCCCTGTCTGCTCCTTCCCTTCCAGCCCCACAGCCCCTGACTTCAGCCTGCACGTGCTTTGGGCAGCTCCTGGCTTTCAGGCCATGCCACACACTTGCCCAGTGCCTGGCCTGGGATGCACGGGTTGTGGGGGCAAAGCCAGGCGCCAAGGACTCATTCCTACCAGTCTTTAGATCTGTTCTCCATCT